TTGCACTATTAAGTGAATTTTATGTTTACAGGCAGCATTTTTCATTCAGACATTTATGTTTATAAAAAGCTATGAGTGATGGAAAACCAACCTTAGTCTCTTCTTTTCTCACTGCCAGTTCATTCATCTTTTAATGAATGTGCCAATGTTTAAAACCTGCTAAAAGTGTACAGTGTAACCTCACTGAAGTAGTACTTTTCAACTATATTATTGCCGACAGAAGTAGCTGTATTCATTATGATCACAGTTTTACAGATAAGAGTCTCAGTGACAAGTAGCACATGCTTTCTGACAAGGACTTGACATGGCTACCACCATACTCCCTAGCAAAAAGCACCCCTATTGTTTTTCAAGCATCAAAACAGCATCAAAACAGCAACAAAACAGCGTATCAGTTTTGCCTTTGGGGAGTTCAACGGTGATACAACATTAAGCAAATGTGAATACGTCAGCCAGACCTCTGTTACCGATTCTCCCTCCACGTGTTGTCTGAAGTTACTGTAAGTGACTTATTGATGTGTCACGTAGGCGTTGTCGGTCATAGTATCCATCCTCCATTGTGTGCGGTAACAGAAGAAACCATTCAGCCGCAACAGTGAAGAGAAGAGTGGGTGGCAAGGTTGCGTTCGCAACCATCAGAGAGGACAGGGGAGCGGAAGTAATGTGGAGGATAGAGAGGCAGAGGACAAACACTCTGCAGCTGCTTATACACACAGCCATGTGCATGCATGTGCAACCCGTGTAGGCGTGCACTGACTCTCAGTTACATACTAATCCATACTATGCATACAGGCAGGTGTTTGTACTGGACAGAATTCAAAATCAAAATTATTTCAATCTTAGTTTGACAGTGCTGTAGGTGTGCATACAAATTCTCTACAGTTGCAACTTTTCATTTCTGAGTTTTTATTGAATTTTAAACCCATATGGGAACTTTTTTAACTAAAAAAGACAGCATACAAATAGATAACATACATAGCCACATATTTCTTAACATAATTTGCTATGTATCCTATTTGGGAAAAAACTTGATTAAAGGTTATTCTAGAAAGCTGCTGACTAATCGCTCAATACCACACTGCACAATCTTCCCCTTCTTGGAGATAAGGCATTTCACCAACTGTCATGTTGTCAAGAGACAAAAAGTAACTACCACAAAGTCATCCAGGTTGATTTCCACTCCACCCAGAGATGTTGACAAGTGTTGGATCTCTCATCCAATTTTGTTAATGCTAAAATTGCTTCTTCTTCTTGTGCAGAATTATTCATTTAGCAATCAGTTAGCTTTGCTTGACATCACACCTGAGGTGTCCACTATAAAATATATGATAAATAAATGTATAATGTTGATCAGTGAGGGAGGATGCAGGCCTGGAAGAAACACAGAAACCTCTCAAATTCAGCCCAAGGCAGTCATTGCAGCAGGATGCAAACTTAAAATCTGTCTGAAATTGTTACGTTGCTATAGGAAGCAGGTATATGTGAAGTTGTACTTGACACTAGGGTTGCAAATAATAATTGTAACAAAAAAACATATAAATATTGCTTAAATCAAACGATACCAAATGCTTATATTCCTCAATCAAAACTTTATTTCCACAGCAACATATAGCATATTCGTTGACAACATTGCATAGCCTATGAATAAGAAGACTAATTAGCATGTCGACATGGTCTGGTGTCAGATAGGAGCGCATCCTGGTCACAATCAGTGCCACAGCTCAGAAGCACCCGCTTGGATGGTACTGATGTTGTGGGTATGCAGAGGTACTGGCATGTCCGGTTTGCCAGTCTGGGGAATCTGTCTACCAGTCTGTTGGCTTTGTATCCAAAAATGGGGGAATGTCCCATAAAAAGTTCTAAACCTCTGAGTCCATGCTGCCAGTTGCAGGAGCTGTTCTGCAGGAGCTGTTCTGCTCCCCTGAAGGGAAAGCCATCGCAGAGCCCTCTCTTTGCGGTTTAGTGAAACATGCTTTGAAAATACACTATTCTTCTGATAGGTAGAATGTAATAGTAAACTACATTTTAATATTTCAGGTCTTTATTTCATTGTCAATCGCTAAAATTTCACATGTACGATCAAATTTTTAACGACAAGATCATTAATTGATCATTGTTCTCATCCCTGCCTCACACCGTAGGAAAGCAAAGGTAAAATGATGTGCTACTGAGAACACAATCAGTATTACAGTCACAGTCTTGCTTTGGCTGGACTAACATTGTAAGCTAACTCTTATCTTCTCATGTCTTTCCAAGCCTCCCTACGTAACTACATCACAGTGTACCTTCCTCAACATTAGCTTGGTTCAATAGACAGCACTCTGTAATAATTGGATCACTACAAAACTGCATGAACTGCTTTTCACAGAGATAATGGCATCATAATTGAAATGCACTCATGCATAAGCAAATGGCTGGTTTTATGAATGCTTTCATCTACAAAATATTGAAATAAGCAGTGAATTTCATAATTTTATTATTGCGTTGGTAATTTACAAATGAAACTGAGGAGAGAGACTGGAGGTGAGAGGACAGAGGAGATAGAGGAAAGTGGAGGAAAGCCCTGTAATTCCCCTTTGCATTCCTAAATGAGAATGCCACTGAAGTATCTATGCATCCTAATGTTAAGTAGCATCAATAGATGTATTTCTAAATGTACATAATCATCAACAGAAATGATCCATGAAGGGAAGTCATATACCCATTCACATAAATGACTGTTTTATGAAGAACCAAGGGCTGAGTGAATAATGATTTGGCAGACTAATGTTTCAAAATAAACACTAGATTAGGGCTGGGAGATATGGCTCATAAATAAAATCTCAATATTTTTAGGCTATACCTCGATATACGATACGATACTCGATATGGACATGTCTAAAATAACATACATCAATTTGACATACATCAAATAGTGATAACATAATGATCTTGTAGAATATGATGCATTGCTGTAGATTAAACCACGCAAAACTATATAAAGTAGTTAAAATTAGCAAAACCATAAACATCTACTTCGGAAAAATGCAACACACACACTAATGCAGCAGTAATATTAATCCAAAAACATCATATATAATAGTAAAATGCTGACAGGGGCCATTTTACTAACTACTTTAGTAAGGTTTAGAATGCAGAACTTTTACTTGTAGTGGAGTATTTTCAAAGTGAGGTTGGTATTAGTAATGTAGCACACCCATAGCCTATCTGCACCTGTGTGTTACCAGCTGAGCCTTCCCCTTTAAGGAAGGTGGTTTTCTGGGTAACCTGTGTGTTGCCGTGTTTGTTGCATAGACTGTAAAAAAGATGTGGATGTGGTCACCATGACATCACCTAGTAATTTGTGGACTACCTTTTTCAAGCCTCGAGTTTGACATTTTGGCTTTCGCCATCTTGGTCTAACAGCCAACTCCTTTGAGTATCTTTTAGTACAACTGACCACAGAACAAGACCAATTAACTTTCAGGAACAGAAAACACACTGTGAAAGGGTCAAAGTTCTTACATGAAAACACAGACAGCACCAAAAGACAAATTTGCAGTTAGTTGTACACAGTGCAATCACAAGCTAACCCCTCCCTTAAGCATCCCCTGCTTTATCGTCTGTTTTCCTCTAAATGGGACTTTAATTTACAAAACTTCATGGTGTATTGAAGACTTGAAACTAGCGACTGAAACCCTAAACTCATTAGGAAAGTGTCTGTTGAGGAAATAATTCTAGTGAAAAGTAGGGTAATTTTGTTATTGACTCCAATGCAACCATACTTCTTTTTGCAACCAGTGGACTCGCCCTCTGCTGGCTGTTAGAAATAATGCAGGTTTAATGCACTTCTGCATTGACGCTGGGTTTGTTGTATCATAAATTTCAAAGTGTTAGAGCCAGGTAGACTAATTACAGCAATTAGATGATTGATCACTTTTTCTCCACCACAGGGTAAAAATCACAGTGACTCGTAGCTGCTAACTAGCTTACTTTTCACCGTCTGAACCAACTCTGCTGTGAACAGTAGAAGACGCCATAGTAATGTTACATATACAGTGACTTTTATTTTATTTTTCTGTGCTAGCAAACACAACACACAGCTTTCACTAACTCTTATACTGCAACCTGAGCTAATCTACACACTTAATGGCTGACTAAAGTAACATACATACCCCTCAGCAGCAACGAGCAGAAACAGTTAAAACTCGAATATGACGATATGGTCATCTGCTATATTGCACATTTTATACGAATAATGTATTCGATGTATCGCCCAGCCCTACTCCAGACATTTGCTAAAAAACAGATTTGGTCCTCCTCTTCTTCCTCTTCCTGTTCCGCTCCTCTTAGTATTGCTCTTTCCCATCTTTCACTGTCACATCCCTTCAGTGGTGGATGTCTTTTTAATGGTCCAACACATTAAGACTAAACAGAACGCTCTGATTACAGACATTTGATGCGTTGGATCACTGGCCACTGTCCTGTCAAGCCTTGCTGTTTGAATTGTGACTGGCCCTTAATTGTGAATTATGACCATGACTTATGCTATTAGCTGCAACGTTCTACAAGTGTGTGGCAGAAAGCAAGACAGGGTCTTTGAGTTTCTTTTACAACAAGTAAGTAGTACACTAATGGCAAACATGGGCGCCTTTATGACAGGAGGATCTGTGCTATGTTCATTTCACATAATTTTTAACCTCCAAAAAAAACTAAGTGTACATTTTTTGAAAAGCACATTGTGAATATTCATTTCTCAACATATTTATCTTTTCCTAATGAGCAGGGAGACTAGGCAGAGACGCTCGTATCAGTAAACATCTGTCATGCAGTTTGATTGAATAACTGCAAACGCTAAATCTGTACCTATCCAGTAATCTTTATTTCTCTAGAGCAAGTCTCAAACCAAGAAGTCAGTAAGTATTACAGTGTTCGGGTGATAATAAATGAAGAACACATCAAAAGTCTCTACCTCTTGATCTTAGTGTGTGGTTGTCTTTCTATGTGTGTCCCCTCCTTAGGAACAGATGGCCAATGGCGTCCAAGGTCCTGCTTCTGCATCGCCTTCATCCGTTTTATTGATGGGCCCTTACAGTCTGGACAGGGAAGTACTGAAGAAGCTGGGAATCGGGCTCGCTCTGGCAGCATGCATCTTGGCCTTTATTGTAGAGAAACTCTACTGATAGAGCAACTAGAAGAAGGTTGTGAACAAGGGAGAGGACAGTGTCATCATAGGAGCCTTAACAGTGTGTTTGAAGTGGGTGAACTAAGTGATAAAACTGTCTCCTTAAAAACATACTGTAGCTCTCATTCAATTTCAAAATAACCCAAAGAAATGAAGTCAGTGACACCTACGGAGGCAAGGATTGTTTGAATACACTGTGAGATATCTCCTGTTGGTACAGTTAGCCGTTTTACTTTTAAATTAAAGGGCAGAGTTCACAACTTGTTCATTTTATTTTATTTTTTCTCCAAACAAATTAATGTCACTGACTTTTCTGTCAGTAAAGTAGGAACAACCACATGGGCAATGGCAGGTCAGTGGTCTTCACAGACCTTAGCAAACACTTTCTTAACAGTCCTTTTTGGTTCAAATTACCTCATAGTTATACTAGATTTGAATTAGAATCTATCAAGGGTACAGATTCCGTTTGTCAGGAAAATGCTATGCTTTGTCTATGGTTCACTGATGGCTGCAGCCTGTCATTGTCCATAAATAATAATGTCCGTAAATAAATTGAATAATGCTTTTTGGGCCAGTGTAGCTGTTCCACATATAAATCAACTAGTTTAACACATTCTTGTCACGTTTACCAGAACAAAGTCTGAGGATGATGAAACTGTCGGTCCCTGTTCAGCTTGCTGAGTTGCAGAGTGATTCTCAGGTGTTGAATGAATTATCCAACTTTTTTTTTTTTGACATACTGAGCATGTAGATCCAAGTATTGTGCGTTTTTAGAGTTGCCCATTCAACTGTGATTACTTTACAGTATGTGTTATTTTATTCTCTGGAAAGGAGTAATAATGTGTATAATACTTAGGTTAAGCATCATTTGTTACCTTCATTTCAAAGTATTTATTTTTGAATGAGAGACACAGACAGTATATTCAAACAAACATTTTTGAAGTTGTTTTTGTTTCATTTTATGGTCTTTGCCCCACATATCAAAGAAAAATAATTAATTTGTAATGTACATCTTACCTTATACTGATGGGTTATAACACAACAAGCCAGGTGGACAATGCTGACTGCTGATTGTTGATCATTATTGACTCATCATTTTTTCCTGCACACCCAAAGTCATTTGTTTTATTTGTGTGTGATGACCAGCTCTGGTGCCAACTTGATTGTTTCATATTTTCTTACTAATACTCTTGTTACTTATGGTGAAAATATAGTCTGAGTCATTATTGAGACAGTTTATGTTTTTGTTTGTTTTGATTAGCATTGTTACAACCATCCTCAACTGTTTAATAAAGGACAAACTCCGTTTGTCATGAGTGAAATGACTGTGTTGCTTGATTGAGAGTCCCATGTCTCATTACTGCATTCTGTATCACTCAGTTGTTGTCATGCATAGAGTCTGCCTGTATTTCTGTCTAATGTCTTTCTGTTTTGAGGTACAACAGTCCCAACATGTGCGCTGAAATTTCCAACAGTTAATAATGCATGCCCCAATTTATGCATCGCATTGCACTGGCACATGTGTCTCGGTCTGCATTTTTGTGTGTATGTGTGTGTGTGTGTGTCTGTGTGCGCTCTCGCCCTGTGTATATTCCTAGTCACAAGTGTCTTTCAGCTTGTTTGTGAGCTTGTTTCCGTGTCAGAAGGCCTGTGTGTGTGTGTGTGTGTGTGTGTGTGTGTGTGTGTGTGTGTGTGTGTGTGTGTGTGTGTGTGTGTGTGTCTATACATGCCTGCACTGGCTGATGTACTGTCTGTAGTTTCCTCCAATGCTTAATTTAGCAGAAAGCCAGAAAGCGTGCATCTGTATGTGGATGTGTGGCTCACGAATGACAGGACTCATCCCTCTCTCATTCAGAAAGCCATGTTATTAGATATAGCGCAGTTTGTAGCCTACACACACTAGCTTTGTATTATCGGAGTATATGATGCATGTCACACATTCTGTTGACACACATACATGCCTGTACCCTGGCCTTTTCTTCCCTAGCTCGTGCATTTCACACACACACAGCACACTGCAATTTTGTAGTATGTGGGCAAATGATGCACGTCAAGCAAACTTGCACACAAACACAGGCACCAAAGGTTTATATTACCTGATCAAATGATGCATGTCTTACCCAGAGACACACGCACTAGCTTTGTCTTATGTTATCAAATGATGCGTGTAGCTATGAGGCTTGTTACATCCATCCAGCAGTGCCCTATATTATTCTGCAGCCATCCATACTATGTGACAGTTCTTTTGATGCTTTGTAAGCACATTTCCTCAGCGTGTATGTCAGTTACACGGCGTTCTCCACTGAAATATGGATGCAACAACACCCTTTGTGTTTGGGAGATCATCACTTAATATGAAATATTGAGGCGGTAACCATGGAAAAGAGATCATTATTCACTTTGCATCATTCACTTCAGTTGTTTCTAATAAAAGCAAGAGTTTCTGAATTGTCTTAGCTGCAGCTGTTGCCAATTTGTCATCGACACAGTGACGTCCGTTTGATGCGAAACGGAGCGACTTTGGACACAGGACAATCAAAGGGAGGTTGAACATTAATGCGCTTTCCTGTGTCATCTCTCATCTATCACATCATTTAATTTCATTGATTTAAGTGTTTGAAATTCAAAGTGGTTTGGCTTGCATAAGCAAGCAGGCAGTGTTGTTACTCAATGAAGGGCGTTGAAGAGGCTGAGATGCCACATTACTGTGAGTGCAACATAAAAGTTCAGTATCTCAGGTAAAGTAAGTATCTCAGGATAAATCATGATTATGTATTGAAAATTATATGTTGTCATTTGATCTTTGACATTGAAAATATATCAACCCCCATTACTAGTGTAAAGCTGAAGAAAAGGTGACAATGAACCTGTTCTGGAGATATACAGCATTTGCCTTATAGCAGTTGTAGCAGATTACAGCAATAGTTATCAAGTAATATATGGTTTAGAGGAGACAGAAAAATAAAGATATATTACATTTTCAAATGTCTTACATGAGAGGAAGTCATACACACAATGTTTTCAGGCTGCTGTATCATGTCATACCTCCATCCCTCTATCCATCGTCAACTGCTTATCCTGCATACAGGGTCGCGGGGGGCTGGAGCCAATCCCAGTCGGGCAAAAGGCGGGGTACACCCTGGAGAGGTTGCCAGTCCATCGCGGGGCCACACATAGACAAACAACCACTCACACTCACACCTAAGGACAATTTTAGAGACACCATGCATGTCTTTGGATGGTGGGAGGGAGCGCGCGCGCAACAAATTAGGCATATTGCATAAGCAGAGGGATGAACCCATGAAACAATATTTCTTTCTGTGGCCGTCTGGTCTCTTTCACAGTACTCGTCTGCTCAGCTGGTGCTGACAGGACAGCAGGTGGCCACAATCCTGCCTTTACTGATGTAGTGGCCATTATTTGTATAAAATAATAATAATCCTGCCAGTACATGAAATCAATAGTAGCCAAAATGCTTACGTATAAAACAAAACTACAAATAGGGTGTCATAATAAGCCTAATGATGCAGCAAAGTATACAAGGAGACTATTCAGTAATCAGTCTGTTGATAAGGAGTATGGATTTGGGGAGCATGTATTTAAAATGTATTGTATAGACATACATAGCAGTGATGAATTTTTAACGTTAGCGTAAGCTGCTCCAAAAATGTATAATGCTACTTAACATACTATATATACTGTGTGGCACAAATGTAGAGTGAGAATTAAAAAGAGGACATTACACTCTGATGGATCTGAGCCCCCAGTACTTGCACCACCAGTGGTGTGAATTACTGTAAGTACGACCTCCAAAAGCATGCAACACTAGCTGGTCTTCAAGCTTGGTAGTTATCCTTCATACTGAGCTGATCAAATGTTCAGGATAACATTAAAAACTTGGATTGAACTTTAATTTCACAGAAGATGAGTTCCGTTCAAAGAAAAGTTGTGACCTTCTCATTTTGGCCAAACAAAGTAAATTCTTCACTAGCTTCTGCTTTTATTTATACCATATATTTATATTGGAGAACACATCACATAAATCATTCATTTGAATAATGTGAATTTTGCAAGATGTAAATGGAATAAAACATGTTTAAATCAAATTTAAAAATAAATGACATACAGTCCAGAATGTTCCTCTTACACTATATATTATATATTAATATAAAGGATCTTTTACAGTGGATGGCTTGGTTTCAGGCAATCTTTCAGGAAAATAAATGAAATGTAAACAGCAGGGTATTTTCAGGCTCGGCTGATACATCTCTTTTTGAGCTTTGTTCTCTTGCTGTAACACTTTCTTTCAGGCAAGCAATCAGTAAAATATGGAGAGAAAAACCTGACATAATTGCAATGTTGATGTTTGTCAGGTTAAGCCCAATTTAGCTCAGTCAATTTACCATTCAGCATGCTTCAAAACTGTTTTATTAAAAATCTTTTATCAAATATCCCCTCTTTTTTTCATTTTCAAATTTGACTACGCGTCAGTCAAAGCGTCAGCCGCTTCTTGTGACATTACAAACAATAATTTTGAAGGTGCAATTAAAATATTTACAGGATCAAAGCATTCACATCACATTTATTGTAGCCCTGACGTTAATTGACATAGGATGCAGCCAGTGACAGCCACTGACATGAAACAGGAAAATACTGTGCTCTGTATGTGTGTGTGGAGGTCTACTTAGCTCCAGGGCAGACATACAGAAAGAGCAGTGACTGACACTACCTTCCAGCTGAGGCCTGGCTGAAACAATGTCTGTTAATAATGCGTGCGTGCATGTGTGCTTGCGTGTCACTGCCCTAATTAGCCGGCCACCTTGACCCTGCTTTGGTTTGAAAGACAGAGAAACAAGGATAGAAATCCCTTTTTTACCTCTTCTTCCATTAAGAGTTGCTGCTTTGGCCTTATACAGTGAACACGTGGTGAAATGGAGAATGCTGAAGTGATTATTAAGCGGTGAATGAAACTCCTCTACTTTAAATTATTACATTTTTCCTTTGCTCACCTATCTGTTGGCAAGCCTTTACCTTTATTTTGAACTAATGTCTAATGTTTGGCTCAAATGGTTTTGCACCTTGTAAATTAAGGTTTACTAAATCATCAGAGCAATTTTGTTTGTTTTTACTGTTAAAATGATATTTATGTAATGGCAGTGGAGCCGCCTTTCATTTTAATCAAACCTGTGAGACAGGTGAACACAAAAGCAGTATATTCGTACTGTAAAAAAAGGAGCCAACAAGATAGATTGTGATAATGAATTAAAATATTTGCACTTAAGTGTTAACCTAAAATTTGTGGACAATCAAAGGCTTCTAAATTTCCTGCCAACAGGCTCAAGTACAATTGGTGGATGCAAATGCAAACCCACATGGGCATGACCAATTAATTTTTGCAATTTTGGTGACCACCATGGTTTGTTGCTTTCTGTCTCCACCTCCCATCTTTCCCTCTTTTTCGGTCTCCCTCTTCATTTCTATAGGCTGCTGTCTGCTCACTGTGTGTGAGCACTTCAGTGCCTTCTGGGACAGAGGGGAAAATGACTTGGCAAGCATATCCATTCCTAATCATATGTGCGTGTGTGTGTGTTTGGGGGGGGGGTCTGTACATGAGGCTTCATGCTAGCTTCGTCCAAGCATTTAGTTTGGTGGCCCTTGTGCCTGCATTCAGTGATTGCTGTGTTTTATCTACACACACACTCACAGGCACACACATACCCAGACACACATACACCCCGTTGTCGCTGCAAAGGAAACTGGGAATTCTCAGCCTGCCGTGCGAGGGAGAGATTGGCTCTATTGAGTGTCTTGGTGGCTTGCCAATTCTGTTTTAGTGTGTATTTTTTGTTTTGTGTGTGTGTGTGTGTGTGTTTGATGGGCTTATACATCTTTGACTTTGAGCGGTTAAGGGTGTTTGTATTCACCAGTGGGACGGGGGACCAAAGTCAATATTTTAGCTGTACAGCAGCATTGTTCTTGAAAGCGCTTTAATAATCACACAGAGACATGGCAGCACTGCAGTATTACTTGGTGTTAAAAGTTGTTATGAGTTTGAAGACAGTTTTTGAAGACATAGCTTTGGAAAATGCTTGCATTAATGTCTCTTGATTCACAATTTGTCTTGGTTGTGTGTTGTTTGACGAGCATGGTGAATTAAATTGTTGAATTCACGTGCCTGAAAAGGAAAATGTGGTGCGTTTGTTAAGAAATCCTACAATGATGTGATTCACTGTAAAACCTTGTGGATCAATGAACTTTCTTCTCAAATCTAACCAAAAAGTATTTACTGAGAAAAATACCCCTGAAGGGTGTCTTGAACACT